ATGGTTCTTGTTTTTAAAGGATTTTCTTTTTATCCATGATGGCACTTGTCGAGGCCAAGGAAAGGTGCTCTAAGTTGTCACGCACACTTCCACATAAAAATGATGCGGGTTTATTGTTATTAAGACAATCTTAACCTCATTCATGCTTATTCAAACAGGGTTAAAAATAATGTGGTTTAGAAATTTATTGTAAGCAAGAAGAGAAGCAGTAAGAAATAATAAAGAATGATTTTATTATAATCATAATGGAAACATGTGCCCTATCGAGGCTCGGGGGTCGGGCTGTCCCCGAGGAGTGGTCTCTAATAGTCATCAGGTCTATACAAAAAGTTAGAACATTTAAACGGATAGAGCACGACAAAAGAACACTCGACCCACCATCAACACTAAGGGTCCGTACATAGAGTTCAACTAGTTAATGTTATGAACTCTTAATCTTATACAAACAAGAAAATTTTCAGAGGATACAAATTAAGGAGCACATTACCTAATTATTAATCTAGCGAACCAAACCCACCAATCCAAGACTTACGATGACTAGTATACATAGTAACCCATATTGAGGCAAAAAAACATTGTTCATATCTACCCACATTTATTATTTGAACAAATAACTTATTTAAATATTGAAATATCTTTTGTAGAAACCTTCCACTCGAATACACTGCTCGACATATGAAAAATATCGGTTGAGAAAGTCAGAAGAGTAAAGAATAAAGTCTTAGTCAGATTTTGAACAAGAACATAAATTATCCTACATCTTGTAATAACATCATATTTATGTAAATGCATCAAGATGAAGTAGATATTATAGGAAAAATATCATGTAAGAAAAAGCGAATAGAAATTAACTATCTCCCTTATGCTGCTGGGACAAGGTAGACATATAAATTTTCGACTGAATACGGTCATATATAATTGTATAAAAGAGGTAGCGATTAGTGCTAACGATTTCAACAAACTAAATGAGAAACGCACGTGCCTAGGCATGGCTTTATAGCTACAGTACAGACTAACATTAGTACATATCAAACTAATCTAAAACAAAGGACTGATTCTTTACAATATTATATTCAGCTAAAATATAGCACTTCCTAGCATGATCAGAAGATATTCTTGTATGCTCAATTCGAAACTGTTGTCCAACTAGGTGGAAGCCGATCAGAAGTGGTAGGCACGCCTCTCACGTTAATGTCCAGAGGCAGGAGACGGTAATTCATGTCGAGCTCTCTGAAAATCTTGATCATCTCTTCCAGCACAAGGGATCTCCTCACAAACCTTTCTCCCATGTCTTGGAAGTTCATTTTATGAGTTGGCCAGATAGCTATTTTGATCATGTTTAATTGATCAAAATCCCTGATTACTATTAAAGGTGAAGGATACCAGTGCTCCTTCTTGCTATCCATGAAACTGCATTGTGGTCATTACAAGTTTCAGCCAATCAGATATATATATATATAGAACAAGCAAAGACAAAGGAGCCACACACTTGTCAGCACATACCTCTGTATTCTGTGTTTCATAGCTGTAATCTTTTCGAATGGGGTAGATATATGTATATAGAATTCGATAGCATCACCCATGTCAGGACTCCTGTAAAAGTTATATATGGCCTTGGTAGCAAGGACAGTATTAGGGATGATTATCTTTTGATTATCATATCGCAGAAATATGGTTGTCAGTATGTTCATTTCTTCTACCACCATCTGAAATTGGTTAGCAACGAAGGAGGAGGGGAAATTAGGCCATGTCTATATGAAAACAGAATCTTTAAACTTGTGAATGGATCAAGTTACCTGAACCCCATCAATTTCACATCTATCTCCCACATCAAATGGATGCATGACAAATAAGAAAATAATTGATTCAAATATGGTCTTGCAGGTGTTTCCAAATACAAATGCAACCACGACAATCTGTGAGCTCACAAATAGAAGAAATTTGGTGGTGGCAACTTCCAATATCAAGAGCCAAATAACCAGTATCACAATTGCAACTATAAAATTGAGCATTCGATGAAGTTTGTTCACTGCCGTCTTGGTGTCATTCAATGTCAAAGCAAGTGCTCTCCTTTCCCTGAAGGCATTGACCTGTGTAGTTAAATGCAAGATACTGCTGTAAATACTATACAACCAAACTCAAACAGCTGCATGTAAACATCAATTGAAACCACTCTGTAAATACTATCAAAGCAAACACAAACATTTGAATGTAAATATTAATTAAAATCAGTCAAGGATAAAAATATTGACTCTGACCTATACGCAAAATTTATTCTTAAAAACAAAAATGATATTTCAAAGCATGTGAATACATGCATGCTTTAAAAATGAGTTTGGTAATATATATACTATTATAGGTCAAGGTTTGTTTGTAACAAGTAAATAACGTCATAAAACCATATTGAGAATATAATAAAAGCATCAAGTAAATAAGTCTAACAATCAACAGAAAAAGGACACACATTGATATCTACACGTTTTAGACACTACAATAAATATATCAATCCTTAGGTTTCTTCTAATTAAGCTTTTCATATGCCATGCTAGTTAACTCTCACCACCCAGTTCTTCAAGGCTGATTTGCTGATTCTCCCAGCATCGGTTGCTCCTTCAAAGAGAGTCATGGTTTTCGCAGCTTCATCCTCGCGCATAAACCGCATCAAGTCATCAGGGTATATATACCTGCAAAACAGAAACCAATAAGATAACAGAGAAAAAAAGGATACAAGAAAAACTTAAAAGTAACAAACGGTATCCTCTATTATGAAAATCTGCAAGCAACAGATAAAGCGATAACCTGCATCCACGCCTAGCAACATTCTGAAATATTTTCTTAGCTGCAGCTTTGGCCTCGATTTCACTTCGAATCTGAGTGGCATTTTCATCCTCATTGGCATTATCGAGTATCTGTTCATCCAATGTAGAAAGAGTCCCATGGCGGACCATATTAATCAACCTTTTCATATTCCAGGCAGACACATTATTGGGATTCAGCTTATGCAGGTCATCAATAGTGATCACATTCCCATCATCCGATTTCTTGGAAAGAGGCCGCGAAAGCTTGCCACTCTTAACTCTGGGGCTCTTCTGCAGCGCTCCGCTCCTCAACCTTTCACTCTTAATATTGGTAAAAGCATTGGCCCTAAGGTCAGGGGGTATGGTAACCCCAGCATTCTGCAGCTTCTGAACCTCATCAGCCAGCCTCTCCTCCTCCTCCTCGGCCCTCTGAATCTCCACCAACGGAGGCCCCGAAAGCGTCTCGATCACAAACTGATTAAACAATGACTCCTGAATCCGATCAAAATACGTGCTCACATGGAAAGAAGAGGCCAACACCTTCACCACAAGAGTCTTCAACAACCACACCAAAGTCCCCACAAGGAAACACACCAACACCTTAGTCACATACTCGAGGAAATCACTGTGCGTCTCCCTCTGCACCCTCTTGTCAAACAACAAATGCCACGCAATCAACACAAGCCCCAACCAGACACAATTCTGAACAGCCTTCCTCACACCGTAGACAAAATACAAGACCCTCTTCCTCAGAAGGAAATTCCTCTCAAAGCAGAACACAGCAACCCTGATAACCCAATCAGAGACCAACCTGCCACAGATAAGAACAAGAACCATAACCTCCCATTTCCACAACCTAAGCTGCCACAGGTTCTTGGTCCTGAGAAAGCGGACACACAGAGTGGTGACCAACAAACCAATGATCAAAACCAAACTCAACCACTCAAGAAGAGTCCAAACGCTAAAATGAGTCTTCTTAAACTCATCAGGAAGATCCTCTTCGAGAAAGGGATCGTCGTCGTCGTCGTCACCCTTCTTCCCCAAAATCCCAGAGAGAAGCTGAGCCGATCTTAAAACCCGACCCGACTTTTTATCGGGTTGATCTTCGGGCGGGTCCATGAGCCTGGAGCGGGTTTTGGGCTTCAACAAAGCGGATTTCCTCTGCATGGAGAGGGTCCTCTCGAAGGAGGGGTTGGAGGTGCATCGGAGGACCTCGCAGTCGTAGGAGGGAGTCGACGACGGGGAGCCACGGCGGTCGTATTGCGGCGGCTGCGGAGGGCGGTGGAACTCGGAGAACTTGAGCTCCATGGACATGCGGCTGGCGACCGGAGATTCCTCGACCATGGCAGATGAATTTTAGTTAGCAAGAAAAGGGTGAAAAAGAAGACAGGTGTAAGCGTAAGCGAGAAAGATAGCTAAGTACGCTGGAAATGAACTGTATTCACTATTCACGGTTGGAGTCAAAGCTGATGGGATGTCAACTACATTTTCAACTAATATCTTATTTCTCAGACACTATTCTCACATATGTCTTCTGTTGTCTTCATTATCGCCGCTAATTAATGTTCTACACTTGTGAGAGAGACCTAGTAAAACAAATTATATTTTTTTTCAAGTGGGTAAGAATTAAGAAACGAAACTAATTCATATATGACTTCAATTCTTGCTTTTATAAAAAAAATTTAATAAATAATTTGTTAAGTACAATCAAATCACACCATTTCACTTATCTAAAGTTTTAAATATTTTAATAAAATTACAAAAAGTGAATTTAGTTCAAAGTAAAGAAAGGAGAAAAATGATTTTGACGGAGGAGAGAAGAGGAAAGAGAAAGGGAAAGGAGAAGTTAACATTTTGTTTGATTAAAAAATAAGTAATTCTTTTTTATTTAATTAAATAAATTGAAAGTTAATTAATTGTCTTTTAGGAAATCGCACTTGCACTGCAAGCCAAGACAGAATACTAGAAAACCCTAATTTGAAAGGTGGTAAGCTAAGCTCTTTGGACAGTGTTTTCGAATGTAAAAACTAAAAACTAAAAACTGGTTTGAGATTTTTTTTTTATTAATGAAAATCCAACATAAATATTTAAAGAGTTTACGATATTCACGTAAACCGTTTAACCAAGTTAGACCCCTTAGTTATTTGAGAAATTAAAAATAATAAAATAAACTGACTGAAAATATATTAAAAAATTAAAACCGGTAATATAAAAAATAAACATTTTTCAAAAATCAAATATTAATATTTGACGTGGCAGCTTGCCACTGGTTATAGTAGGAGGGGCATCAAAACCCTTTTTCCTACCGTGGGCATGTTAGCAGATGCCATATAGTATAATCATACGGATTAATTTCTGTTTAAATTTTATTAATTTTAAATTTTAAATTTATAAGAAAAAAAAATATTATTATATTTATTTATATTAATAAAGATGTTCAAGTCTTTTAAAAGAATTTTCTTTTTAAAATTTTTTATTTATGAAAACATATTATATATAATCCTTTTTCAGTTTTTTCATAAACAAATAACTAAAAAAAAATTGTTTTATAAGACAAAGACCACTTGATATTTTTCTAACTACCTGGACAGAAATTCACCCGAAAAATAAATCAGGACCGAACAATTTTATCAATTAAAAGCAAATATTTATAGAACTAAAAAATATAATTAAAAATTATTTTTCTAAACTTGATAATCAGCAGTGACATATGTATTTAACAATGGACTGATCTAAACTGATAAAATATTCGCTTCATTATTTTTTTCTCTATTGTTTCTACTACTGAACTTCTAAGAGTATAATTATTACTACTTTTTATATAAAGTACGTATATTTTTAAAAAAGAAATGGAGGGTACGCTGCACGTTAGGTGCTGTCCTATTTAAAGCAATACATTTACTAATTGTGCGGTGTACGTTCCCTTTTCAACCTTTGTACTAACAATTCAAGAAATGATCCGTTAGTAGTTATAAAGGAGAAGCTCAAATTTAGCAAACAAAATCCCAGGTATCCAGAAGCTCGAATGTAGCAAACAAAATCCCAAGTGTCCACATTTGATATTTATTGCAACGAAATATTATATTCTCTTAACACATTTTTTTTAATATTTTTATTATCACAAATTCAAATTTGTTAAAATTAGAAAGTGCTTAAAATAATACTTTTCATTTAATAAACCTTGCTCATAATTTTATAAATTTTAATTAATTAAAAAATACATTAAGAAAAATATTTTAGAAAATGCATTCCAAACACTACCAGCAAATTCTTCACAATTATTTAAATTGAAATGATTGGTGTATGCTCTAACAAGAAACATATATCTAGAGAGACTTATGTCCCGGGTATATTTGTGAAAAACATATAGCTAGTCACTAGGTATAACATTTGATTTTTACCTCACCATTACGCGACAAAATAACATATGACTTGGGTGTTGATATATTTTCATGAGGTTGTCACCCGTTTTCTTTTAACCTTGACAAGATGTTGAGATCATCGTGAGCTGGTGGTTCTCTTCCTCACCGTTCAAACAGTATACAACCCCATTAATATATATAATACTTCACTTATTTGAAAAGTAACTTTCTATGAAAAATAAATTTTATAAATTTTAAAAAATTAATTATTTTATTTTATTTTATTTTATTAATTTAAATTAATAAATAATTA